AGCTGGTATACTGTAAAAAATCAGCACACACCAAGAAAAAAAATTTAAATTTTAGATTAAACAAAAAATGAATGTGTTTATACGTACATACGTTTATGCGCGCGCGCGCGCGCACACACACACACACACACACACACACACACACACACACAGGGTGCGCCATTTTAATGTCCCACCTCAAATATCTTTTCTACGCCTTTTATTAAAAAAATGTTAAAAATGTTAAAAATGTTTCGGATAAAAGCTTTAGAGTTTTAAGGGACATATTTGATATAGTAATATTATTGTGACCGTATATATATATATATATATATATATATATATATATATATAAAGTAATTATAGAATTATGTACACGTATATAATTTGTAGCAGGAAGAAAATGATCAAACTTACATTATAACTTATAACTAAAAGTTAAGTTATAGTTTTGAACCCAATATTATGTAACACAGACGATTATATAAATTGTCAAAATTTTAAGTTATTTGTCATTTATTTTATGTGAGATTTTAAAAATAAGATAAAATTTAAGAACTATTCACATAATCTTTTTCATGCTACCAAAAAAACAAGCAAGTGAAGAATCAAATTACTGAAGGATTATTATCATGTCTTACATGCATTTAACATTAAAAATACGGTAAGCGGTCATTATTGACCGTTTCTATTTTGTAGATTAATACTGTATTAATATTGTTATATTATTAATAATATAATGGTATTATTACATTTCTTATGTCAAAGATAGGATTCTGAAATTGTTTGACTTTTCAGTAATTTATATCCTTTATACTGATGAAATATTTGATTTAATTTTTTTATTACTTTTTTTATTTTTATAATTTATTCGTTTGGTTCTTTTAGTACAAAGAAACGTTGTTACTTCAAAAAAATTACTTTATTAAAGTTATTTAAAAGCTTTTTTCCAGTTAACCAACAATTTGAACAAACTTGGTGTAATTTTCTCTTACATTTGGTATATATCTCAACAAGTTCGTTCCGATTACTGGCTCCTTGATGACAGCTTTTTTTAGATGATTTTAATATATTTTTTAAATATATTTTTTAATATATTTTAAGATTTTTGAATTCCTTAAATTTCACAAATTTCTTTGAACATGCAACAAATAGTCTAATCCTTTCAGATTGTTTACATCACTGATCTTTGTTATATTCAATTGTTATCTTCTTTTCTTAAAAGATATGTAGTACAAATGCACTAATCATTGCTGCTCAGCATTAGGATATGTTTGGGTACATTATTAGTTATTATAATAATTATTTACAAAAAATAATAGAGGTTACTTTGTAATACTATTTTATTCAAAATAAATAAATTTAAAATATTTTATTCAATCAAAGTTTTGTTATAAAAATGCTTTTAGCTCGAAGAACTTATTGTCGCAAAATTGAAAACTTCAAATTTGATTTAATATTTCTTTTGTTTCATCTTTTCCTATCTTCTCTCTCTCTCTCTCTCTCTCTCTCTCTCTCTACACATGTATACACGCTAATCTTGATTACAGTCTAGTGTATCAAAACTTATACATTTAAAATTTTTGCGGCCAAGCATTGTTAATCATATCAGCAGCCTTTTCAGCCACCATCATGATCCCAGCGATAGGATTTGAGTTTGGCACAATGGGAAAGATGGATGCGTCGGCAACACGGATATTCGATATACCATGTATTCGAAGTTCTGCATCTACTACCGCGCTTGGATCAGTACTTGGTCCTAACTTGCATGTTCCAGATTGATGATTTTCTGGTCCAGTTTCCGTCCTTATTTGACACATCCAGAAAGCGTCCGTACCGAAATGGTAGCTAATAAAGGAAAAATTAATAGAGATTAATCAGGATAAAAGTAACTTTTTTCAAAACTTAAAGTATTTTTATGCAAAATTATTTTGAACTTTCCAAACATCATTGTTTTGATGTGAAATATATCAACGAAAATGTAAGCTATCAAGAATTATACAATATGTAGAATTATTGTAGGTAAAATTGTCGATATAATTTTGAATTGTCGAATAAGAGATGTTGGAAAGCCAAACAAAGGCTTTCTTTTCCTTTCTTTCTTTTTTTTATTATTTTTTATTTATTATATATATTTCCTGTTAAAACTTAGTTTGTTTTCGAAAAGATCTCCGTTTGTAATCGTTTTGTAAAAATTTTCGATATTTATATATAGCGACATTTTCTCTAAAGAAAAATCGACTATATAAATTCATCAGGGAATCGAAGATTCTTAGAATGAAAATTGCGATATCGTAATTGTACGATAATTGTACGTAATTGACGAGGATTTATTCTATACGATTATTATCTACTTTTAACATTACTTACTCGCTACACAATGAACTTGTCGGTTGTTCCAAGCGAAGATCCCACTTCTTCATAGCGGGCGTGTCAACAAGCTTGCTAATCTTTTTGACACCTTCGAGCAGAATCATTAGATCCTTTTCGTTTGTGAAGTAATTTGGATATATCAACGGCGGATCCAAAGGATTATTCGAGCGGAGTTTCAAGTCGCCTCGACTCTCCGCGTAAACCACTGTAGGTCTCGCCACAATCTCTCTTCTGCTCGGACAATCGAACTGGACCTTATCATTGGCGCATTCGTTGGGTAGACCAGTTTTTGGACAAGTGGAGCTGAAACCGTCGAAGAAGACTTGGATATCCGGCATGCCATTGATCGCGTAGCTACTCTCGAAGAAAGCGGTAACTTGAGTGATACCAGTGCTGGCCAATGGACCGGTCTTATTCTCCAAATATTCATTTACGGCGTCCATGGTGATAGTCTCATATGGAATGTCTCTGATGCTCATCGGCACCCCCACAGACACATGATTGTGCAGATTCTTGCCGACCGGCAGATCTTTATACACTTTAATACCGAACTTGGCGAGATCTTTTTCGGGTCCCACTCCAGAATTCATAAGAATGTGTGGCGAGCCAATAGCACCGGCTGTCAGAATTACCTCCTTATCACATTTAACCACTCTTTTGTAGCCGTTTTTATCCACCAATTCCACACCGTAAGCCTTTTGTTCCCATGGACTAATCAAGATCTTAGTGACTTGCGCATTTGTCAGCACTCGCAAATTCTTGCGGTCGTAAATAGGTCTCAAATATGCTCTCGAAGTCGTGAGACGCATACCGTTCTTGGTCGTCATTGGTGCGATCATGAAGCCAGTTTGATTGTATTCCTTCAATTGGGAGGTTCGGTAACCCAGCTCGCCGGCAGCTGCCAACAGAATATTGACAAAGTCCGGCTTATGCGGATAATACTGAATATTCATCGGGCCGTCTTCCTTCAAGCTTCTAGGCTTGTCCGACAAGATTGTTGGGTCGACCGGATTCTCCACTCGTTCAAAATAATGACTGATGTCATTATAAGACCAACCCAAGTTACCTTTGCGCGCCCAGCGATTATAAATTTCAGGATGCCCTCGAATGTACATCATGCCGTGTAAACCACCGGTTCCGGCGACCATTTTGCCTCTTGGCCAAGTGCAGACGCCACCCGTTTCTAAAAAGAAAATTGTTGCATTAATTTATTAAAGTTTTGTTTTCTTAACGCAAATTTTATTGCAGATGGAACGATATATACATACGCACGCGCACGTTCTATCTGCGATAAAATTTGCACTATGTATATATACATAAACACACACATATACTCACATACATAATTTTGAAATATATTGAAGTTTTTCAGAAAAAAAGCTGTTGAGATTATTTCGTGATAGTACGAATAGAAGGCGTCTACTAATGTTTAAAATCTCTATTGATTTTGATCTCGGATTTTTAGAAAATTGAAAAAATTGCCACATTGAATTTTTTGTATCATTATTATAGGTTTTAAAGATTATTCTGTATGATAGAATGATATATGATGTATAGATAACTATAAATAGCGAAAAAATTCATCAAGTTATACAATGCAAGACGATATTTTATATACTTAAACAGGCGGTAGGATGTGATAATGTTGGCTCCGTCTTAAAGTTCCAATCGAGGGACGTATTTACGGCATTGAACGCAAACGCTGGTATAGCTGTCATACTAGGTTCTTCTGGGCCAGCTTCGATGAGCAAAACCTTTCGCCATGGATTGTCGCTCAATCTTCTCGCAATTATTGGTCCGGCCACACCTGCGCCGACAATTACAAAGTCGAACCTAAAGGAATTTACGATACGTGGATGATTTTTCATAGTATAGAAGAATGGAATACGTACAAGAATGAAAGTCTTGCATTATGCAGATATCGCGAAACTCTTACCATTCATTTTCACTCGGTGCTTCGTCTCTTCCCAATCGTCGACAAGGGTCAGCGATGTCGCATCTGGAGGATATCGCATGTTGAACCAACGTCATAAAAGTGCTGACCCTACCACAGACACGACTCATGTACCGCGTATCCTCGAACTGACAAGAGCAACATCCTGCATAGTCGCTGGTTGTTTGAATCGGCTAGAGAATAACAAATACTGGTCGCATTTTCTTCCAGTACAAAGTAGATATATTAAAGCTATATGTACAGTTAGTATGAAATTCGTGATAAAAAAAATGTGTATTTCTTTGAGGAATTAAAATAATCAAAGTTATATAATTACTATCCACTCTCTCCCAAATATGTAAGAAAGATGTTTCCGATATTTGTGTAAATTTTTGTATTAACCTAAAATGATACTCTGTAGTGTTTTTCTTATTCAGTAGTTTTTCTGTTAGGATTTTTTCGATTTTTTTTGCGGAAAAAAATATTCTCGATTCATACACGGAGAGAATTTTTTTTTTAATTTACTTTGCAAATCATGTTAATTATGGGACAATATAGTATTTAGGCAAATTTTAATGTGCACTACAATAAGATTTCGCTGTAAAATTTATTGTAGTGCACAGTAAAATTTACCTAAATACTATATTGTCTCACAATTAACATGATTTTCAGGGTAAATTTTAAAAGGAAATTCTCTCCGTATACATTCGAACAATGTGCGTTATTCTGATTATTATGTTTCTTATCTTAAAAATATCCGTTTAAACATTATGCTCCATGCGGACATAATGATATAAACATTTCAAATTTCTTTGAGAATTTAGTAATTCTATGCGTACTTTTCTCTTTTGCGCTGTAGCCTGTAATTTACTTTTATTTTCGATTATGAAATATGATGCAACAAAATTAAAGCGCTAAAGCGTGTTAGTAAATTTAAAACCAATCAGATTATCCGTGAAGTTGTTTAAAACAATATTTATATTGTTATATCGATTGTGCTAGTTTAATGGATTAGGTAGCTCATTATAAAAAAAGAAACGCGATACTTTTTTCTTTCACTTAAGTCGATATATCATTATACAATATAAAACAAAAATTTTCGATACTGTAAAAGAATATTACTATATCTTACTCACCTGTGCTTTGACTGCAGTAGCAATAATATAATACGCCAAGGCTAACCAAAGGAAGTACCACCGCATGTCTGCAATTTAAATACTAATATCATTTTCTGAATTGAGTAAATTGCAAGGAGATAAATGATAATGAATTATAGCGTGTTTGTATACTTTATGTAATTTAATTTACAAATAATACTGTTTAATAATAATAATATTGTTATATTATTTTCGCGCGCGCGTGTGCGTGTGTATGTGTGTTATAATTTACGTTGACCAAGCGCATTTTATTGTATCTCTTCAAGATACAAGTTGGACACGAGTCAATCATTAGTTTGATCATTATCGTAGACCGTTGTTACTGAAATACGGATTTTACGTCGTGTTCATTAATGAAAGGATACATAATTGCTTGAAAATGATTGCGACGGAGTTTCGACACATGTCAGTTAAACACTTGAGCGAGGGGAACGAAACGTCGATTATACGATTTATGAGAATACCATTGAAAACAATGGCATACGCCGACAATGTAATAGGCGCGTTTTGCAATGAACTTAATTCTATCCCGTATATACTTACATTGGTAACCCTGTCACACTGTTTTTAAATGTATCTCAGGTAACACAAAGTGTAGAAGGATTCATAATTTGATATAATTAATTGTTATTTATTCCCATCATTATTTTCCTTTCTCTTAAACGCAATATATTAAATGAAATGTGTCAATATAAAATTGATTTTTTATAACATTACTTATATACTACAACTAAAAAATTATCCGGAATACGTTTGATTTCATTTTTGATAAGAGTACGTTATTACTACATGTTTGTAATAACTTTTTATCACAGTGATCGAAGAGTATACGCAATATATTCAATACAACATGACAAATATATCACACATGCGAAATGCCTAAAATGCAGACATTTCTCCATCCGCAAACGGAGCAAGTGAAATTTCGTTGAATCGTTAACAGGTGTAAACATCGTACACACAGGACAGAGAGCTAGGACAAAGAATTATCCATTCTAGATTACAGTTTTAATTTTGCTATACGTGGAAGGACCTGAGAAAATTAATAAAAATTTTTTTTTTTATTTGAAGTGTTATTTTTTTCACCGCTAGAAACTTATGTCGTTGTCACGTAGCTACGATGCTATCGGATTATGTTTTATTACGTTACAGATATTTTTCAACAACAAATCATTGCATAAAGAACTATAAAGCAGCCTCTTTGAAAAAAGTTTCAAAACTTTCGCGTGTTCCTTTACAAATATATCTCTAAAAGATATATCAATCATCTAATATAAATGACATTTTTTGCAATATTATTTATAATTTTTAGACTCGGTTTTTTTTCCAAATATTACCTGAGATCTGGATAAAGGTATGAAGCTTTAAGTTTTTGTGGTAATCAATGTTTCGATGACGTTTGAATAACAATATTGGACACGTAGATATTAATCGATTCGTCTTATCACCAGGACCACAAACCATTTTAAGCAATTGATTCGAAGCGTCTCGGATTCGCAATACGATCGTATTTCCGACACGTACCGTTTGGCACAGTCAAAGGGACAGCGACCACACTATATGCACTAATCGAGAAACTCATCGCGTGTGGTCAGAAACATTCGTTGACGAAGAAGACACACGTGGTGTGACGTCATCGTCCAAGTCTTCGTCTGCAGCAGGATTCACACCGCATGGATTAATGCATCTAGGATTTATTCTTTGAGGATTCACGATCGAGTGATTTTTGAGGAAGCCAGGAACGAACGTTGTTCGTCGATACTTGTACATCGACGAATTATTAAAATTTCTTTTGTCAAGAAGAAGAGAGGAGAGAAACGTGAAACTAATGAGAAAGAAAGTGAAAAATTATAAATTGAAAGGTACATTAGAGTTTACCAAATATTATCAGAGAAGAGTTTGATGGAAATTACGACGATCACTATATTTATATAACTCATTCAAATTTACAAATTACACGCTAAATTGAGAATATATGACTGAAATTTCATTTATTCGGACACAATAAAGAAACCGCTTGTTTGTTGCATGAATGAAACTTACTACGAGCAATCATAATGCAGTTATAAGTTAAATAGACATTAAAAACTTTTGTTTAAAAAATTGTATTAACATTCTGTTTTTTAAATGTTGTATGTGTGTGTAAAACATTAAAAAAAAATATATATATATATGTTTATAATATGCAATATTTTAATTTACAATTAAAAAGTCGACTCTTTGAAACTCGCTCTGACTTGACAATAGAACGTATAATAACACGTTTACAAGTTTGTAGTTATAGTTCGTAACAAATATGATATAATACAAGCAGTGTCTTTATATTGCTGTACTTAATATTCCGCGTTTTTGTTTTAATATTTAAATAAAAAATCTTATCTTTTACCTCAAACGTGACAATATCTCCGGCTAGTATCACGAGTCTCCACTAGCTTATCGTTATCGTCCCACGCAGATACCGTAGACGAAGAATTTATGCTGATTTATAGGGGAAAAATGAACCCCGTCGCGATGTACATTTCGGATATATGAAGAAGAGCGCCGCGACATATTGCGTTTTCACGCAGTGGAGGAAGAGGACTCGACAACACATATCACGCACTTGTACACATGGATCACGTCATTATATTATAATTTGAGAGTAAATACGTACGCATATGTGGATATGTGAAATAATACATATCTATATTTTAACGGCTGTCACCGATGTGCAATGATACGTCATCGTTCAATGCCATCGTTAACGCAAATTAGCTATTGGAGAATGGCAATAATTTGAAATATTTTGGGAGTAGGTATATATCCAGGAAGCATATCCAAACATCGGGATAAACTTAAATGCGTTTTGTGTTCCTTTATGTTTTTCAAGAAATGAATATAAAGATTGTTGATAAATGCAAGAAGCTCTATAGGAATGTTCGTTGTTATAGGAGTGTACGATGTCTACATTTTTCAAATATATTCCAATATTAATGCCCCCGCTCCCATTTCTCTTACATCTAAATATAATAATAACTCTATTAAATTGAAATAATTATTTTCATTTTTCTCATTATATCATTATGTCGTTACATTGTATATATATAGGTACGATATTTTTTTATTCTTTCCAAAGTTGCGTAATTAAATGTATTATGGATTATCGTGTTTTTTCACCATTGCCTTCAATTATTAAATTACCAAAAGTTGAAAGTTTGCAGTGCGCATTTTAACGCAATGTGCATTTATCATGATCGCGTGAGTAAAGAGCAAACCTATATGTGTATCACAATATATCATTTTTTGATTTATATGTTTTATATATACATTCTGCATACGTAACATTATATATCTATTATTATTTTAGCGATTTCTCAAATTGACAAAAATGGAAATGTAAAAACAAGCACTTGTGTATCTTAATAAAAGTCACAATCAAATTTTAATCGCAATTTGTCCTAGAATTTTAAGGACAAAGCATAAAAATGCAAACATGAAAAATCGATTTTTGTACATTTTTTGAAAATGTTTTGCATGTGATAGAATTTTGAAACAATGCTACACTATTGAAATACACAGATACAATACGTGACACAATTTGGATGACATATTTCGTCATCATGTTTATTTTCTGACTTGTATAATATGACTGTTCATATGATGACCTCAAGTACTAATTTTTAATGACAGGCTAGTTCAAAAAATTCTCTGGCTTTATCATAATGTTAAAATTATTTACTTGGGACATCAATCGTTGTATGCATATGTGACAACTCGTGTCATATGTGTAACGATGCGAATTAATTAAAGATATTTTGAATGATTTTGAACTGCTTGAATGTCACATTAAATTAGTAACTTATCACATACCAGTAAGCATTTTCGTATTTTGTTACGTATATGTTCGTCATTCGTCCAGAAAGACAGAGGGAGGGGAGGGGAAGCATCGTTCATCATCTAAACTTGGTATAAATACATATAATTTAGAGTTACACGCGCGCGCGAATGCAAACAGCGCGATATATGTGCAAACAGTCCACTAAATAACAAAGAGTTTGCTAAAGCTGGAGAAAGTAGATATAAAAAAATTCTAATTTTAATTCTAATACTCTTGTTTTATAAATTATAATTAGTGTTCTGTAAGGAAAGTAAGCGTTTCGCAAAGTTACAATTTCTAATATTTTATTATGTTTCCAGACAAGTACTAATCACGATCGTATTAAGTCGTTGTATTAACGTTGTTCCCACAATTAAGAAGCGCAATTAAAGTTGAAGCGTTTATTTATGCTTGCTTATTATAAATGATTGTACTACATAGTAACATGAAAGATGACAATATCCTATTCTGCATCAATCTCTTACAAAATATAAGCATTGATGCCGAATCATGATTGCCAATCTTCCTTTATCATATCAGCACCTTTCTCTGCTATCATAACGGTCGGCGCGTTAGTATTCCCTGAAACTATAAGCGGCATGATCGACGCGTCGATCACTCGCAGTCCCACAATTCCGTGAACTCTTAATCTAGCATCAACAACGGCGTAGCGATCGCTGGCAGGGCCCATCTTACAGGTGCCAACCGGATGGTATATCGTCGATGTAAAATGACGTGCGTAGCAAGCCCAATACTTGTCCGACGAGCTATCAAACTGCGAACATCCTGGTATTGGATTCAAGTTTGGCCGTGTATTTAACTTCCGCATAAGACGAGTATGACTCATCCTTTCCATAAATCTCACGCTCTCCACCTATGAAAGTAGCATAATCATCTTTCAAGCCCTTATAACACATTTGTACGTAATATAGCCTTCAATTATTTCTTTTTGATATTGATATTTTAATTCTCAGACGGAAAATTTGTTTGTATTATGGATCAATAACATAATGCGGAGATTTCTCTCTTAAAAACTGTGTTTATTAACTGTGTTTGACTAAGGTTTTCTCCAACAATTTATTCTTCTGTTAATTTGTAATTTGAACTATTTTATTGATATACGCGTTTATTGTGAGCAAACTGAAGCAAACGTTTATAAATTTAAGATTTATCGCGACTCGTACACCATTATAACTGGTCTATCATCATTATCGTAAACTAGTTAGTCACTAGTTAAAAGCAGCTATTGTGCTATTTCGTGACAGATACGCGGTGAAAACAATAATAGCGTACTAGAACTTGAAGATCATGAGAGTCCTTGAAATAATTTGGAACAATGGCGGGAGCTTCATTCGGATCAGCCGATTTGAGTTTGATAAAGCCTCTGCTGCGTGGTCTTAAAAGAAGCGGAAAAATTCCGAAAGCTTGAATATCTTCTGTGATATTTTCATATAACTTAGAAACGATACTCGATTCAACTCCGTATAAATTTGCTGCAAGAATTCCATAATCTGAGAAAGCCGAGAATATCAGCTGTATGTCTGGATAATCGATCCCGTTTGCATATCTATAGCATAAAGATTATTTTGAACAAACTGATTATATTGTCATTAAAGAACTTTCATTTTTTTTAAATATAGTTTAATTTCGACTTTATTTCATTACGATCGAGGATTGATAAACTAAAAAAATTTTGGAGAGAGAGAATGTGTATGATATATGTATCGCTTACTTAGTGTTGACAAACGCTATTCCGGCACTGAATGGTGTAGTGTAGAGAGGACCAGAACTGTTGCACATCATTTCTCGAATGTTTCTTAAATTTCTAACTTCAGATAATTTCATAGTGAATTTGTTTCGCTCTGATGTTTTGTGCGGAGGATCGATAATATAGATTATCCCGGCCATCCCCACATGATCTTGAAGATTTTCTCCTACGCCAGGTACATGATGTACTACAGATATCTTCATATCCTCGAGATGATGATTCGGCCCGATTCCTGACAGCATCAATAGTTGCGGCGACTGTATCGCACCCGCGGAGAGGATCACTTCGCGTTTCGCAGCAACTATGAAACGTTTCTCACCCTTACGAAACAGCACCCCATGCGCTGCCTTGGACGTGTCATCTGTAAACAGATCGCTTCTTTTGTCTTTACTTTCTTACGTATACGTGATGACCTGTGTGCGATGACAAGAATCCTACCGCAACTATATAATCACTTCATAAGTAATATCTAATGACTTGACTAGAAATCAATGCTTATATATATTTTCATTGTAATATCCCGCGACATACATTGACAATCGAATGTACAATATACTTAATACGTTAATCAAATATCGGTAACTTTTCAAAAGAGAAAATTGAAGAAGAGGCAATGAAATTTTCTGAACCTTCTTTCACTAGTATCTTCTCCACAAACGACTCCAAGCTGACATGTAGATTCTTCCTCTTTGAGGCGGGTCGGAGGTAAGCTTTAGCAGTGCTGCATCTCAATCCATCTCTCAAAGTGGCAAAAGAATGCGTAAAACCAGTCTGATTTGCGCCATTAACATCGCGCACTTTGTATCCCAACTCCTCGCCAGAATAAACGATATAATCGGCCAACGGTGGATTATACTTGAAATGTTCCACTGTCAAGTATCCATTTTTTTTATGATAAGGCGAGTCGGCGAGTTCCTCGACTCTAGCATCTTCAGATCTCTTGAAATATGGCAGGACGCTCTCATAATCCCATCCCACATTACCGAGAGTCGCCCAAGAATCATAATCCTTTTTGTTGCCGCGGACATAAAGCATCGCATTTAACACGCTGCTACCACCTAACACCTTGAGAATGAATCATTTCGAAACAATCCTTGATATCTTGATTTAATGATAGAAAAGACATATTCGGTAATGCATGATATAAAATTGAGATCGTTTAAACTTGAAAAAATTGTAAATGCATTATTAATTTTATCATTTTTAAATTTTTCACTCCATTTTTTACGCGGAGCAATGTATCGTGTATGACCAATTAAGCTTTATATATAGTTTTATTCTTTTGACTCTTTTTCTTTGTGAAATGATAGCGACGCGTAGAATAAATAGATACATTCGTTCTCTACATGTACACATACCTTTGTCTATAAAATGCCTACCTTGCCACGTGGCCACCTACATTGATGATTATGCATCGCCAAGCAATAATTGGATGACGGTTCCGTTTTGAAATCCCAATCCAGATATGTACGTTGCAAAGAAATATAAGACCACGGCACGTCGGACAAAGGAACTTCATCGACACCAGCCTCAAGCAGAAGAACAGTGCAATCTTTGTCTTCTGACAATCGGCTAGCCAACACAGCTCCTGCTGATCCTCCGCCAATTATCACGTAATCGTATTGAACCAACAGTTTTTCCATTGGTACCGTTTGTAGACGATTTTCTATGTCTGCGATGTCTGGACGCATATTAATAATAAAATACCCCAACATCATGAAGACAAGCTTCGAAGCTAGGGACATGGCTAATATATGACGTATATATGTATTACTGTAATCAGAAATATGTGCTATGCTGGAGATTTGTCGCTCGCCATATAATTATCCTATCTTTAAAGAACAGTTATTTTTACTACTTTACTTATTTTTAATACCTATTATTATAATACATATACGTAATCATGTATTTATAATATTAGTATAACTTTCCACATACACGCAGGCACACTTATACATAGGAAGAAAGAAAGGAAAGAGAAAACGCGCCGCGCGATATATATATAATATTTATTTATATTCATTTTCTTGGAATACGTGTTCACAGCCGTCATTAATTGCAATCTTTTTAATATACAATATTCCAACATTTTGCGATTAATAGCCACGATTTTAATATATTTTAACATTTGCTGTTCTGTAATATCTGCTGCGCTTCGTCCGCTCTATCTAGCTGTTTAATCTTTTGCAATTAATTTAATTAATTTTCACTGAGGTATAAAATTCTTGTAATATTAATGTAAAAAAAATTTGCCCTAATTAATGTTTTACAAAGTCACACGTTCTTCTTTTGTGATATTTATTAAATTAACATGAAAATAACACGAACGTGATGTAAATGTCATTAAAGTAGATGTCATTTTCAAGTAGAACAACTACTCCTATTATCGTACGTATTTAACAAGTTGGTCATTGTATTGTAATTTAGTAGATAATTGTGAAAGAATTCCATGTCACTCACACACACGCACGCACGCACACACACACACACACACACGCACACGCACACTCCCACTTATGTACATACGTACATGTACATATCTTATTTCCCTATCTAATCATGTCGCATTTGGTCGCAAACGTCTTTAAATAATATTTCGCAATTCTTTTTACTGTATACTCGACTGCAGATTGATGTAAATGGATATAGATGGATTGATATGAAATGAAAATTAATTGCGTTTATTATAATTATATTATAATAAATATGCGATGAGAATATGAATCGAATGATATTTAGCGAAACTCTGCAATTGATGCAATATACCAATTAATCGTAAATATTTAATTTTGTTGGAAACTTATTTCCAATATGACAAATCTCACGAGATTGTCTACCAGACACTGTGATTTAATTTACAAAAGTAATTATGTAATTTACAATACTACGTCTGTTTTATCTGTGATATTTAAATATATATAATTAGTGTTAAGTAGGCTGAGAGAAGAATTCCTGAAATTTTTAATAATTGATATATCATTTTGTTAGTGTCGTTGAACAGGAATTTTTGCTCAGGAATTTGACGTTGTTTTTATCCTTGTTTTTATGTTTTTTTTCATTAATCTGAATACAAAGTTGAATACGTTTGATTAATTTCAAAATTTATAAACTGAATTTTATTCATAAATTTTATGTCGCGGATATTTTTTTCTAAATATTTTTTTAATCGTGAATTTATGACTCGTCGATTAAAATTAATTTATTATAATTAAATGGAAATATTGCCAATAAATAATGATTTAACGATTTAACAAAAATAGTCAATCTTGAGATTGATTTCTTGAGATGCTGTCAATTCAGAATTAATTTATATTTAATTCAGTGAGAATTAATTTAGTTTTTCTTTTCACACATACTACATATCCATCTACGCGAAAAAATTCTGATATTAGACTGATGATTTAATATTTTTATTGTCGCATCAGCAGTTATTAATGGCCACGCCATTCGAAAGCGATAATTTAATTTTTCTGCAGAAAGAATTTTGAGATTTGATGATTATTTACGCAAAAAATAATATTTAAAAATGAGCAAAATAAAAGGAACAAACTTGGTAAGAATATTAAATAAATTACCTTCAAAATAATGGTTTACTATTAATTAGTTTTTGAGTAATAGCTTAATAGTTTATTAATAGTTTATGAGATAATAACACTGTAATTGCACTTGTAATAATTGTGATTATTTACACCAAACGTTGTACTGCTCAATTTCAATTAAATTGAATTATGAAAAATCTTAATTACGTATCACTATGAACTATATGGCTGATCTGAAATTTGAAAACTACGATAGTTGCTTTTCTCCTACTTATTTATAATCTGAAAAATATGCGTTTCTTCAAAAGCTTTCCATCGCTTTGAAAGATTGTTTTTGGAAGGGGAAAATTTTATCGACACACGAAACGTAATTAAAGTAAGAAATAATAAATTATACGAATGGAGCTTGAATATTTATTTTTCATGACGAGCACACATGTCGGTCATTTATCAAGATAAAAATTCAATTTCGAAAACAGTAAAACCTATATAATACATAGTCGGACATAATGTTGTAATTATTTAAATCGATACATACATCTACGTCATACAAGGTATCAAATTCTAAATATTTCATCATTTTGCAAGCTCTTTCTCTCTCTCTCTCTCTCTCTC